CGGATAGGCACCACCAAAGTGTACCTGCTGTCGGAAACCATAGCTAGGGTCGGCAAGGTGCGCTGGTAGCATGTATGGAGGATGCGGCGGCAGGACCTGATGTACAAATTGTCTGTGCTTTTTCGACGGTAAGCGCAAATACGGGGACGAGGATGGCCTGAACGATGCGGAGTTCGAGATGGACGAAGGTATATTGCTCGTCTTCTACTTCTACGCGCGTCTCATCGCCGCGCCAGATATCAGCTACCGCGGCAACGCATTATTACTGCAAGGCTCGCCAATATCGAATCTACCTACTGCTGGTCTATTCGCGTACGCTACACATTTTGACGCCCACCCGCTCGGCCTGGAATGGGTACGTAACGCGCCTCCTCGCGCACGAATGCATGCCTGACTCACGACGCACGTACGCCAGGTCGACGACGAACGCTGTGTCTTTGTCTTCGAGTCAAAGACCGACGCGCGCACCGCGTACAAATTCCTCCAAAAGCATATAACGGAGGAGCCCGACGCTGACGGGTATATCACTGCGAAACCCATCCCCGTGGCAATATGGCCGCCCGAGGAGCGCATCAACAGCAGCCTCGGCAAGGGCCAGGGACTGAAGGGCACCATCCGCATGCGGTGGGCCAAGAACGACGACGTGAAGAAGCGCGGTGCGAAGAAGGATAGCCAGTTCTACAAGAAGCACGGATGGACCGCGGGGAAGGAGACGGTCGATGACGGGTCGGCGCCCACGCCGCCCAAACGCCGGCGGAGAGGGAGCAATGGGCAGGACGAGATAGAACGGGCGGCGCTCGACGCGGAGCTGGACGAGTTCATCCGCGCGGAGGATGAGCTTACACCAGAGCCGGATCTAGACGGTCCCTCTTCCCCGCAGTCGAAAATGCGCTCCGACTACATCTCCACCGACGGCCGGACGCTCCTCGAACGCACGTCCGTAATGCGCGCGCAGCCGGGCTCGGACTCGCTCGCATCACGGCTCACCGCGCCGCTTCCCCGGCGCACCAAAGTGCCGCGGGGAACGATGTACGCTGATAGTCTCGAGAATCCCCAGAGGGAGGACAGGCTCGAGTGGGGGCGCGACGAGGGGGCGCAGTGGGGACGGGAGGCGCGCAGCAGGGAGCCGCGTATTAACGAGAGGAGTAGCGGCCCCCGGAGAGATACTGGTAGAAGGAACGGGCGAGACGGGAAGGGTGGCGAACGGCGGGGGCGGAACGAGCGTCCGGTCATGACACACGAGGATCTGGATGCGGAGCTGGACGCGTTTTTGGAGGCCAAGGATTGATCTGCGTGGCTTCCCTTGTATTTTGTTTCAAACTTGCATGTATTTTCCACAACTCCCCTCACTCACTCACACCGCGTCTCTGGATTAACCCGATGGACGGACGTCCTTAACTATTTAAATCTCTCTCTAAGATAATTGATGGATAAATACGTGAGATCTGTCTTAAAATACAGCTTCGTTAAATCTCCGTTTGCTGGGGACCAGACCCGGAGGCGGAAGCCAAGGGATCGGCGGGAGGCTGATGACTTTGTAGCGTCGCGTTCCACTTGATCACCGTCGGATGTGCCATTACCTGTTGTCATTGACAAATGAGATGTCGGCGCCATCTCAAAAGAAAACAAAGAAAACAGACGCACCTTGCTCCGATCGAATCTCAATACCTGCAAACCCCCAATAGACGCCGCCCGCGAAAGCGCGACGTAGGATTGGCCTGCATACTACAGTCAACGCGGCATCTAACGCATCAAGCACGAAAGCTCGCTCACCTTTCTCAAAAACCTTCCCGAGATCAATCTTGACGCGATGGATGGTCTGCCCTTGGCTTTTGTGGATCGAGATCGCCCAGGCGAGGATGAGCGGAATTTGCATGCGACGCGCGAGGACGGTCCCTTGCGAGTCCTCGACCCGGAACTCGTCGTGCACAAGGAGTACTGCCTCCGAATTGCCCCCATCCAACGCCGGGAATTCAACCAAAGGGTATTGACCCTCGTCTCTCGATGAAGAGGATCTAGGCTTCTCTTTCTCCTTCCCCTTGCCCTTGGCGGCAGACTCGGGCTTGCCCTCCGCCGCATTCTCCTTGTCCTCGCTTCCCGAATGCCGGAGCACCGGCGTCCGCCCATCCTCCTGCAACCGCACACTCCGTATCGGCGCCGTTGCGCTCTTGTTCCCGGGAACACCCTTGACCTCGCCCTGCCTCCAGAACCCAAGGACCTTCCCCACGCTCCCATTCACCAGCCGCTCGTCCAAGTTCTTGATCAGCATCACCTGCGCGCCGACCTTGAGCACGAGCTTCTGCGGCGCCATCATGTTCTCGAGGAGCTTGGCGCGCTTGTCTGCCGCTGCGGTTCCCGAGTCGCGCGAGAGGAAGACGTATTCGTTCGTGCTCAGGGCAGAGAGGCGGACAGAGTTTGCGTGGTCTACCTCCCGCCGCAAGGGAAAGAGTTCGGTTGGGAGGATGCCGGCTGGATCGGGAGGGAGAGGGCGGGACAGCGCTTTGAAGGTGGCGCAGGCGGCGGGGGTGATCGTTCCGAGACGGAGCTGATTTAGCAGACCAACGAATTCTAGATGGGATAGTAAGCGATGTTCGATTAGACGAAGGCGGTGTGCATACCATCGTCTTTCTGACGGAAGACGTGCGAGAGGGTCAAGGTATGTTCGATGCACTCCTTCCATTCGGGACTCTCAAAAGCGAACTTTGGGGTACCGTTTTTTGAAACGGGAGGCAGCTGGAAGAAGTCACCAGTAATTACCAGCTGGAAGAGGGGGAAATCAATGCGATTTCAGACCTGTTGTCGGCAGCACATACCTGAATGCCACCGAACGGGCTCGCACTCTTCCTCAAACTCTCGGCGAGCTTGCAAATTCTGGTAAAAAGAGGAGCATCGACCATTGATACTGGATAAGATGTCAATTTCACGAAAGTAAACGGATCCGCCTCTCAGACACACCTTCATCGACGATGAGAACTTTCGTGCGCATCCATCGTTGGAGAGCAGGCTTGCACTTCTTGATGCAGCTGATCTGGTGCTCAAACTCGGTCAGGGTAGGGGCAACGGCTCCCCAGGCGTGAATGGTCATTCCTTGATGATAATTTAAGCATGAAAGGAAAGAGGCGAGTCATATCATACCGCCGATATTCGACGCCGCCATCCCAGTGCTTGCGGTTACAGAGACGGCATCGGGAGTCTTGGCGTGTTTCTTCTTAAGGGCTTTTATAATCGCTCGAAGCAACAGGGACTTCCCGGTCCCTAGACGGCGCGAAGTCAGTGAAGGCAAAAAGAAAATGCCGAGCAGGTGGCACGGCACACCGCTCACCCGCGCTTCCAGTAAAGAACACGTTCTTCCCCTCGTCGACCACCTGTCGTAGGATAGCATTCTGCTCCGCATTGAGCGAGACCATTTTCCTGTCGTCGTCATTGGAGGAGCTCGCCGGCGCCAGGACCAAGGGGGAGAAGAAGGAATCGAGAGTCTGGCGCGGTTGTTTGGCGGGACGCTTGGACGTAGACCCGCCTTCGGACTTCCTCTTCTTCGAGGCGGTGGGAGTGGTCATCCGAGTTGGGGTGGGCGGGAGAGTGGGTGTTCGCGAGACGGCTGTTTGTCGCGTGAATGACGGCGTGATCGTGGTTTGGCGCACATGTGACAGGAATTCCCACGATCTCGGCATCTGCCGCCGTGTCGAACCTCCAACTCCGAGCCCGTGTTCTGCGGAACCCAGCTCTGTGACGAATGGTTAAGTTGAATACTTGGAGCAAGGAATTCTCACAGACCTCCCTTTTAATTCCCAAATGAGTTTGGACAAAGTGGAATCAGGCCTATTCGACGCGGTATCAGAGCTTCCGACTGCTTCCGACGACCTCAGCTATTCTGCAGTTGCGCCTCGATCCTCATCAAAATGCGGGCCTGTTAGATGGACTTGACCACCTCACGCAAGGTACTCAGCTTCAATTTCCTAGGATTCACACCGTGACCTCGTTCGAATCTCCCGCAGTGCGCACCAGAAGAGACCTAGCCTATTCATGGCCCAGCCCGAACTCTCAGGAACCCTTCTTTTCCATCTGAATCGGCGATTTAGGAGGAGCTAGACCACTGGGTACCCGAAGAGAGCGATGAACTCGAGTCTCGAATCTCAGGTGTATCTCAAGAGATCTCAAGACGTTAGTGCTGCGAGACGCCGGTAGGTTCATCTGGATGGTAAACCAACTTATCTTACTTATGGCTAGAATTCTGAGCGTCTTGCAGACCTTCACCGCGGGGGGACGGCAAGCAAGAAGGAAAATGCACCTTGAACCCCCTATCTTCGTGGCTGTGTTCCATTTTCCCACGAAGCTCCAGTTCAAAAAAAAAAAAGACAAAATTCAACCCCAATGTAGAGTTGCTCTTCCAAGTAAAATCAGTGTCTTTCTCACGTTTCATAATCAGAAGCTGCGTTATATTATTATCTCCGAGACTTACCCGTCGCTCATAAATACAGTGAGTGCACTGGCACAAAATCACCACTGGACTTGCACTGGACTCGGAGTCTGGAAATCGAACGTCAGGCATGAATATGAAGACATCCAATGTGCGTCCCTCTCCCAAATATCCATGCTTCACAGGAAAATTAACGCCTTCAGTCGATTCAAAAATAAATCGCGCGAATCCCATCGTTCTTGGAAAATCCCGAAACGTGTCATTTTTAATCGCGGATTCCTCCCCCCCGGAAAGTACTGTCTTTCTATAACGAACCCTTCAACTGGAACAAGATCGTCGTTCCCGCTTAACTTCGACCATCCTGCCGCTGAGTGCATATCACTCAAGCTTCCCTTGCAATTTTTCTCTTCGCCAACTCCGACCAGGGTTGCTGCGTTGCATCGGTGGGGTAGTGGTAAATTGGGTCGTTGCTTCGAAAAAAGCGAAAACAAAAGGCGACACCAGCTGATTGCTGGGAAATTCTGTCGCCAACGCGCTTTCCTTCCTATTCATATTGTCCCTCCTCGACAAATGTCTCTCCATGGCGTCGGTGGGGTAGTGGTAACCTGGGTCGTTGCCAAAAGCTCGAAGTAATGAACTTCGACCCGCCGGGGGTTCGATTCCCTCCCGACGCAGCATCTCTGTCGCGCGCGTGGCTGATCTTTTTTACCCGATGTTTCATCTTTTACCCCCACGTCTCGTCATACCTAGACAGAAAATTCAAAATGAAGTCTAGCTGAGGCCTTAAACACAGTGATGTCTGTTACGTTCTGAACACCCCAATCTGACGGGCATTCATGCATTTTTCAGGCAGGTTTTCAAAATTCAAGAAATTCCTTAAGCCAAAACACATATTTGAATCCTCCGAGAATATTTTCTGTTTTGTGCTATGCAAAATGTCACTGTAGAGGCCGGAAAACGTGTTGCGGGGGATGGGCCAATTAAATCCTTCGGCATTCCGGCAAGGAGGCGTGGAACGAATTGATTGCCTGATAAAGACTACGACAAGTTTCCAAGTTTCCGTCCATTTCGCGCATCTTTTTGTGGGTGGAGTTCGGACTGAACGATTCTTAGGTACATATAGAACTTTCTGTTCTGCTTCGCGAGCTCAACCGCGGTTCAGCGGACCCCTAGTTAGCGAGGCAATGGACCGGACAACAGGAGCAAGCAGACCCGAAGGAATGGAACGGCGATGCCATCTGCAGTTCATTTCCAATTAGACTCTGAGTTCTGAACTGCGCCATGCCCGCGCGCGCCTCCCGCCCTCGACGCGCTCGCTGTCGCCGCGCCGGCGGCCACCGTCCAAGTTAGCCTTGACCCGCAGCTTGTCACGCGTGCACAGCTATCGCTCTTCGTCCCATCCCACGATGCAATCCCCCCCAATCCCACTTGAATCGCTGGCGCTCCCCGCGGACGCTCCCATCGCCGTCACCCCCACTCCAAGTGGATCAGACCTCACGGACCGTAGCAGTACGGCCTCCGATGTTGACCCTCTTCTCCTAGCAAGTCGGGTCCAGACGGAGCAGCACATCAACGACCTGCGCCACAGAAAGAAGGGCCGCAAACAGGGCAAGGTCGTCGGCGAGTTCTACGAGAAGCAAAACAAGCAAATCGAGGCCCTCCTCATGTCGATGGACCAGCACATCGAACTTGCGCAAGAGGAGGAGGACAATAACCGGCTCGCGGTGCGTTTTCGCATTACTTCAACACGTTTATGCTGACTCGTTCCATAGATCAAGATCGCTATTTACGGTTCTCTCATCGCCAACTGGTGGGTTTTTTTCCCGTTGTCCCCGTCCCGGTTGCCTAACTGGACTTGCAGCATCCTGGCTGTTCTGCAGATTTATGCTGCAGCATCTTCGCTCTCCCTGTCCTTTTTTGCGACTGCAATGGACGCTATTTTCGATCCCCTGGCGAATTTCGTGCTCAATTACTGCCATCGCCTTGCCGTTTCAGCGGACCGCGCGCGCTACCCTTCGGTGCGTCCAGCCCAGTGTTTTCGCTGCTCATACCACTCATGTTTATTTCAGGGGGGCAGCAGGCTAGAGACCATTGGTGACATCGTCTACGCGGGAGCCATGGGCTCCGTTTCTGTAGTGCTCATCGTCCGTATCGTCGTTTCACTATACAACTCGCTCACTCATGTCCCCGCTAGGCGTTCTCGATCCAGGACCTTGTCAAAGGGTCTACGGGAACCGAGACACTCCACATCCCTGCCGTTATTGTTGTCGGAATCGCCTTCGGTCAGTCAACACTTCCATCCTTTTCACCACAACCAACTCATACCTGCGCCTAGCCACCAAGCTCGCGCTGTTTATCTACTGTTATTCCGTGCGGTCGAAGAACTCGCAGGTCCGGGTGCTTTGGGAGGACCAGTGAGTTCATTGGCGGCGCTCGGTGCATATCTCTCACTACGCCTTAGCCGCAACGACCTGTTTGTCAATGGCTTCGGTATCCTGACTTCCTCCGCGGGCGCCAAGCTCCGCTGGTGGATCGACCCCCTCGGCGCGCTCATTATCTCACGTCCGTCTTCCCACTTTTGATTCGCATTGGGTCTGACACACTGAGCAGTCGCCTTGATAATTGTCTGGGGACGTACCCTCTACCGCCAATTCCTCCTCCTTGCCGGCGTAGCGGCACCGATTGAGTTCCAGCAGCTTGTCATCTACAAAGCGATGATGTTCGCGGAGGGAATCAAGCAGATCGACTCGTGTACTGTGTATCATGCGGGCCCCGTACGTCTTTTTCTTCCTCGGTATCCTTGGCTCACAATTCCAAGGACTACGTGGTGGAGCTCGATATCGTGATGGAGGCGGACACGCCGCTGTGGAAGGCACACGACCTGTCGCAAGCGCTGCAGGACAAGATCGAGCAGATGCCGAACGTCGGGCGGGGTGCGTAAATTACTTGTATAAATTGCGCGGGTGCTGACGCTTTTCCCCTCTTACGCAGCGTTCGTGCATGTGGATCATGAGATCAGCCACAAGCCCGTAAGTTTTGTCGTTTCTACTTTCCAAATGTCTGAAGTAACGCGTGTGGTTTAGGAGCATCGAAAGACCAAGTGAATTTACGCGTGCGGAGTGCTGTGTGGCCACCGCGAAACATGTTGGGGCTATTTACAGTAGGGGAACATTATCTTACATTCGTTGTACATATAGACCCTACATTAACATAATCTAGACTCAGTTGGACATCTCTTCAACGGGGCCCTCGTATTTCTTCAGATCGTCGATGAGCTTGGCCCATCTTCCCCCATTCCACGTCAGCATGTCCTTCCACTTTTCGCTCTCCGCACCAAAGGCCTTCATGCACCACTGCAGTTCCCCCGCAATCACAAAGTCCGCAAACGAGATGGTATCGCCCATAACGAAGCTGTCCCCCTCCTTGATCCATCCGCTGATCTTGCCGTAGCCCGCCTGGCACTCCTTCCACGCGGTCTCGCGCGCCTCCCCCGTCGGCTCCATCTCCGTGAGCTTCTTCTTGTAATTCGCCTCGCGCGTGCGCACGAAGTACTCCTCGCTCCGGGGCCGGAGGATCCGCGCGACGGCGGGCATGATGTACGGACGGATCACCGGGTCCGTCGCGTTGTGGACCGCAGCCCGGAAGGCATTCTGCAGCGTGTGCGTCCCCGCGGGGGTCAGCACAGGCGTGTCCGGGTACGTCGCGTCAAGATAGTCGGCGATGCGCGCCGAGTCGGAGACGACGGCGCCGGTGTTGGGGTCGTGGATGACGGGCAGCGTGGAGTACGGGCTGCCGTCCTTGCGGACCATGGTGGGCTCGGCGCCGATTTCCTTGCACACGCTTTCGATGTCGGGGTACTCGACCCACGTCGTTTTATAGGCGAGGCCTTTGAAGTTGAGCGCGTATCTGCGGGCGTAAACTTGGGGCGAACTTGCGGATGGGAAGACTCTGCGACTGACCTGATTTTCCATGTGTTGTGGGACCAGGCACACCCCGCGGCCGTGGAGGGGATGTCGTAGAAGATTATGGGCTGTGACATGGTGGGTTGAGGTCAAGGTCTGCGCGGGAGAAGATCCGAGCATTGCGTAGACGGGCTGATCCGTCGTACAAGCATCTCGAAACCCCGGAGAGTCTATATAATAGGCCTATATAGGCCGCGTAGTGAGCGTAGAGTTTTAAAAGGTCGGGGTCTATGCAGGAGCCTATAGAACAGGCAGTTCTACCTGCTGGTAGAAGTATATTTAGAAACAAGGTTCCGTGATTTACACCGACAGCGTTTTAGTTGCGGGAAATATATATGTTACGTCCTGCAAGCACGAGCATCATCCAAGCATCATCTCGATTTTCCACGAGTCGAGCTGCCTCATGCTGCTCGTGGCGTTCCTTTAAATTCTGACCTCCCTTCTGCGTCGTCGACGAATTCTTGGTGCCTTCAATCGCTAGATCACGGCCCGGGGACCGAGCTGGCAGCGATGACATCACCCCTCAGGCTGGCGGTTGCCTTCTTCCTTGAAGCACTCTTTCATGGCGGGACCGTCGCTGCTGCAAGTGCTCCTGGGCAGGCCGTCGCAAAAGTACAGCATGCCCGCGCCGAAACAATATTATTCGGACAAGGCGACGATGATGCGTATAGCAGCAAGCACGGATGGTATTCCTGATGCCCCACGTCCACTCGAACGCCAAGTACGTCATGTAGCCGTGTGCAGCGATAGCGCATTCTTAATCCTTCTCCCAGGACGACGACGACGACGCAGACGCCGACTCGGACGTATTCTATACCCCCCGCAGTTCCGTCGCCTCGGTGGAATCCATGCTCACCACAACAACCCCGCCCACATCGGATGCAGACCACACCCAAACAGGTTATACCGACCAGGACTGGGCACAGGACATCCACTGGCTCGCCACCGCAATTCAGAAACCAAAACCAAAACGAGCGCCTGTACCGATGCCGCCACCCCGTTCGTCGCGCTCGCCGACCCCAAGCATCATGATGAGCATGACTGCCCTGCTGGAGGAGGACGAGGACCCGCTTCCAGTCCCCCAAAAAATATGCGCCCCAGCTAGCAGCGTTCTCGTGTCTCACCCGCGCCATTCGTCGTCGCGTTCTTCTAGCGCGGTCTCGCCCCTCGCCGCCAGTGGTCACCGTCGCGTCCGCTCCCACGGCACCGCTAGCACCTCCTCATCCTACTACGTTCCTCCACCTCCACCCTCTGGGCCACCCGAGCTGCCCTCCTATGGCACCCCCGCATACACCTCCCTTGCTGTCCCCGCCGCCCCAACATCCTCCCAGTCGCTGGGCCGCTCTACCTCCATCTCCAAACGCATACGCGCATCCCTCCGCGGCGACACCGCCGACCTCTCTCGGTCACGCCTCGCACAGACGACCATGGCCTCTGTCGAAGTCGTTGGCGGACTCGCCTCGCCTTCCCATGCCCAACCCCCACGCCTCGGCTTCACACATTACCGGACCCCGCCACATTCTGTTCCCAAGGCCGGTGTCCTCGTCCAGGTTTGGGCCGTCGCCCTCGACGCCGTCGACTTGCGCCTCCTCGGTGTTCATTCGGCATCGAGCACCACGGAACTGACGCGCAGCCGAACGCAAAGTTTCGGGCGTTTCGTCGGGCGAACGATGAGCATGAGCCGCCGCACCGCGTCCGATGTCGGCTCCATA